GAGTGGGGGCCTTCTGGGCCATTTGAACATATTGTCATTTCTGCGATTTATCATACCATACAGCACCATCCACCATTACCACACTGTACTACGCCATACGAACTGGAAGTCCAAGGCGGTTGATCCTGCCTACAAGGATCACTCCTCATCCATTCACCCGAACATCCGCAGAGACAGAGGGTTCAGCAATCGCCACCGATCCAGCGTGCGAATCTCAATCCATTAACTTTGATCTCAACACCACATCTCAGCAGCTAGCCATAATCTCACGCTCCCGACAACTATAAGACAGTACTGTCACCCTGCCCTGCCCTGCCCCGCCCCGCCAAAGCCCAAATCACCCCGCCCTCCCGTTCCCCTCTCCCACCCACTCCACAATACACACACTGTGGACCCACACACGCACACGTGTGTACGGCGCGCAGGTCGCGTTGGCCAACCCCGTGGTGCTCTCCAAGCTGAGTCTACCCCAGCCTGGCGCCTGGAGCACCTTCCTGCTGTCCCCCCCTGCCAGCGGGAGGTACCTGGTGGTGCGGGGGCCGCAGCGGGGGGCGACCATGACGCTGTGTGAGCTGCAGGCCTACGGTGGGTGGGGGTACCCGGTGGGGCTGTGGAGTTCGTGATTCTCGGTAGGGGGGTTGTGCGGTGTAATACGGGAGGAGAGAAGGGCAGGAGGGGGGTGGTGGGGGAGGAAGGGGGGTGGAGACCACCGTTCTCCTTCTTCAAAAGGGGGGAGGTCCACAAACAACGCAGCACCGTCAGAGCCATCTCCCCTTCTCAAAGGCGTCGCTGGACTGACGGTGAAACATTACGACAGCAGTCCATTGCGGTATTTACCATTGATTCACCACGGCCATGCGGGTGGTGGTCCTGACCTCACATCCAGGGGAGAGCGCCTTCGAGATGGAGCTGGCGCCGGCACCCAGCCCGCCGCAGCCGCCCTCGCCGCCCTCCCCGCCTCCAAGCTCCGAGCCGCCGCCAAGAAGCCGCGTGTGGCCGGACAGCAAAGTTTCAACGAACCCAACCGCCGTAACCGCCGTAACCGCTACAGTTGTTGGTGTGAGTGTTGGTACGACGGTGACCGCCATGATGGTGTCGTCGGCCGCAGCGACGGGGTCGGCTGCGGCTGCAGTAGCGAGTAGCGGCACCGCCACCGCAACCACTGTGCCGTCCACCACTGCCACTGGTACGGCAGGTACCTGCGCCACGCTGGCGTTTGTGAGCCATATGCAGTTCTTTGCTCTCACCGCCAACGCCACCGCCAACACCAGTTCAGCCTACCAAACCACCAACGACCAACTGTCATGGTACGTCTTCCAATCTTACATCCTCGCTGTGAATCATTCCTGATAAAACATTATTTGCTATTACCATCTTAAAATCCTCCGCGGCCTCTCGTGTCCTCGTGCCTCCCAGATGCCATATGTGTATTGCGGTACGGTCGGTGTATTCCCCCCCTTGTCCGCCCATATTACCCCCAACCCCATTCTCCGCTCCCCTCTCGAGTATGAGCCGTAGCTGTTTTACTCCCAACGCCCCTTGGCCAGCGCCAGATGTCAGTCCTTCTGAGCTTCCGTCCTCCTGTGCTCTGGCCCTCTTACTACACCACTTAAATCAAGTAGAGTTTTTCCAGGAAGATGAGGATTATCCATTAGCCAATCAAATTGCTAAAAAATTTCCTATGAGTTTCTTGCGCAACATAAATTAAATCCATAAATGTTAAAAAGTTTTTGCTAGATTTTTTTTAATTGTTCTAAGATGAAGGTTTGGCCGCAAAAACCTGGATTGCATTATCATATATTGGAAAAGATTGTGTTAAATGAAGAGGAGAAACGAAAGATATGGCAACAAGATTTCAACCCGGTCATTGGATGATACATTTAAAGAAATATTTTAAAATCCTACTATTACTAATAAAGAAATAAGGGCATATTTATAAGTGGTAATAGGAAAACTAGAAATAATTTGTAGAGGATCTTTAAAAACATTTTCTGCTATTATTATTTCTTTAGGAGAAAGCCTTGCTAGTTCATTAACAAAATTTTGCTCATACTTCAGATTGTTTGATTAGGGAACTTATGCTTTGAGGACTGAAATCACCAGTACAGTATTGCTTAGGAGCATTTTTAATATTAAGCGCTCAATTAATAATCTAATGACTTTAAGATAGTTTTTATTCCATCTTGACATAGCGTTTACGGTAACTTAGTAGAAGCAATCGGCATATACGTCTAAGTTTAATACAAGAATTGCTAAAGGCGAAGATAATGAAACACACATATTAGAACGCACTTCATACCTGTCACATTAGAGAAAAAGCAGCTGAAAACGTTTATTCTGGGCTTGGAAAAAAAGATGCATGAAAAATGAAAAACTGAAAATCTTGAGAAAATCAAAAGAATTTTCTTCTACTTAAGAAGATAATTATGACAAATAAAAAACAAAAGGCAAAGATAGGTAAACCGACAGCTCTATATTCTTTTTTTTAGAAAAAGGCCCATCATTGGTTGGTCTTGCACGGACGATATGTACAGCTACATGATTTTAATAGTAACCATGTCAAAATTCATGAAAAAAGTAAATCAAGGTACTAAATGATTCTTATAAACATGGACTTCTCTTAAATAAATATCTCCTGAATGCTCATTTGTTTACTTCTAAATCTTTATAGTGCTTACCAAATCAATGAGAAAACGAGAAACATTTTCTCCCTTCCTCTATAATTAAGGAGCCAACATATGGGTGATAAAGAACAGTAAATAAATATTGTTTCCAAAGTTAAGAAAAAATAAAGTATCAACAAGAAGCAGCCATTCTTTGTAAATACCTAGTTTTGATACTTGGGCTCATCAAAACTTCGCTGGTACTGATAATATATTTAAAAACTTTTTTCCTGGCTACGAGAAATAATACTTTTTAAAAAAAATTAGTGTAGTAAGTTATTATGTTTGCATTTTTTTATCGTCTAGAAACTTTATATTTGAAGTGATAGAATTCCCACGCTTTTTAATGGTACACAATTCTTATATGGAGTTGGGTTACTTACTATCGGAGGAATAAATTTGGTCTGGGTTATGAATTGTCTCTCCTCTTGTAAATTTTCTTAAGTGTCTGTAGGAGGTAAGGTAATAAGTAAGGAGTGAGGAAGTATAGAAAATCCATTTATTTATCCTATAGAAGGCCCAGTGTTATCGTTGGATAATTTTTCAGGAATTACAATAGATGATAATCTTACATTAGCGTGTAAGAAAGGCGCTACCTGGCCCTGCTCCGGAACCGGCTCCGCCAGGCTCAACCTCGAGTTCAATACGCTTTGGTATCTGGATCACCTTTCCGAGGAGGAGCAGAGGGCCTTATCTCAAGCTCTCAATATCGCCATCGCGTACGTGGGCGCGCTGGTGCTGCACTACCTGGTAGTCATGCTGTTCTCAGCGCTGCGCTGGGTGATCACGCTGAACCGGCGTGGAGCAGCTGCGGCGGCAAAGGGAGCAACGGCGGAGGGAAAGAGTGGAGACGCGGCGGCGGTGGCGGCTCCGCTGCCGCCGATCCTGCCAAGCTTCCTTGTCTTTCCTTTCGTCGAGATCTTCGTCATTATCTTTTTCATCACCTCTGCTGCCACCGCCGCCGGCACGCTCCTGTCGTACGGCATCACGGCGCATCGCGCTGTCTCCATCGCGGTCGGCATCGTGATTCTGGTGCTGCTGGTCATCTTTACCGCTGCCGTGCTGTGGCTATTGTGGAGGCTGTACGCCGCCGCCGACCGCTTGGGACTGTCGTACGTTTGGACGCGCAAGCCGCCGCCTGCGGATGGCAGCGGGGGTCGGCTGGCGCACTGGCTGCGTCTTGCCGAGGTGAGAGCCTTCTCCCCCTTTTTCGGGCCGGGGATGGGGGAAGGAAAGGAGGGTCTGCCGCCATCCTCCCGCCCTTTTCGAGTTTGGACCTGCCCACCTGCCCACCTGCCACCTGCCTAGGCTTACTATAGAACCCTCCACCAATCTTCCCCCGGCCCCCCGCCCCCCGAGCCCCTTCTCCGTATTGCCCTTCCTGACAACTCCCAGCACTACCTGCGTCCCTTGGCAGTTGGCCGTTGGCAGATATACTTTGGGCGTCGGCTGTATTAGATTGCTTTTTGCGTCGCCATTACCATGAAGGCATGAACCGTTGATTCCACCCTTTAATCCGGCCCCGGCCCCGGCCCCGCCTCCTACCCCGGCCCCGGCCCCGGCCCCGGCCCCGGCCCTGTCCTCTTCCCCGACGGTCTTCCCCAACCGACCCCCTTCCTCCCTCCCCCGCAGCGGGGGTACTGGGAGCGGCCCGAGGGGGTGGATGTGTGGCTCATGGAGCCGCACCGCACCCAGTACTACTTGCGACAGGGCTTCAGCCTGCCGCAGGCGCTGAGAGCGGCCGACCCCAACCACCACATCGACCACACGGATGCGGGACTGGAAGGGCAGGAGGGGCAGGAAGGGCAAGAGGGGCAGAAGGGGCAGGAGGGTGAGAAGCACGGCGCAGTGGCGGAGACAGTGATGGCAGCGGCAGCGGCGCCGGGCATTCAAAGGGCAAACCGCAGTAGCAGCGGCTCCGGCGGCGTGTGCGGCAGTAGCACCACTTCACAGGTGCAGCCGGGAGGGGATGTGCGTGAGGGAGGGAAAGAAAAGGACGGACCGCTGGGCGGCGGCGGAGTAGCGACAGCAGCGGAAGCGCTGGCAGGAGGACGGCAGACGCTGCAGTCGTCTTTCCGGATGAAGCCGACGGCAGAGCGTTGTGCCAGCTTCACAACGGCTTCCGATGCCGGAGGCGGCGGCGGCGGTACGGCCGTCACTGGCAGCAGGCCAGGATCAGCGGCGCGCACATCAGCCGCGGCGGCACCGGTCGCCGAGTCAGCAGCGGATAACACCACCAGAGCGGCGGCAGGAGGCAGTGGCACCGCCGCCGTCGGCGACGGCGGCTCTGCGCGCCCCCTCTTGCCAGTGGCACCGCTGCCGTCGCCGCCAGCTGCACACAGTACCTCCGCCAGTGCTGCGGCTCCACGCCGTACCGAGGCGTTAATCGTCTTCAAAGAACCTTCGGATTCGGATTCGGACTGCATTCTAGACCCATCGACAGGAGGCGGCCTCCACACCGCGCCTCCCCTTCCGCCGCCGCCACCGCCGCCACCAGCACCACCACTGCCGCCGCCGCCGGCCCCCAGGCCCATGCTACTGCCGCCCTTAGACCCCCACAACCGTGACTCGCTGGGCAACGGCCCGGATGCCGGCGGTGACAGCGACGGCGGCGGCGGCGGCGCCACGGGGGCCGCCGTCATCACGGTAGCAGCCCCGGTTTCGGAGCAGCCCCGGAGCGCCGCGGTGCTGCTGGCCGCCCAACCACCCACTTCCCTCGCTGCTGGCGGCGCATCGCCGTCAACCTCACAACCAGCACCTAACGAAGCAGTAGCAGTAGCAGCGGCGCCGCCACTGGCAGAAGCAGCAGCAGCAGTAGCAGTCTCAGGAGCAGCAGCAGCGGACGCAGCAATAAGTACGGCATCAAGGCTTCCCCGTGTGACTTCAGCATCAGAGCCAGAGCCGGTGTCGGAGGCCATGCTGCAGTTGGCTATAGCGGCGGAGCCGCCGCCGTTGCCGCCGCCACAGCCGCCGCCGCCGCGACCGCCGCCGCCGTCGGTGACGTCATCACGGCACTTCTTCGCGCAGAAGCTCACCGGCGGTGAGTCGTACACGGATGTCCCCGCCGTCAGCTGCAGCTGTGTTCTGACTCTCAGCTGTTGCAAGGAGGGTCAAGCTGCGGCAGCGGCGGTGCCGCAAGCGGCCATCGAGCCGTCGCTTGCACGACAAATGGAACTGTACGAGCGATACGGCCAGTTGTTTGAGGATATGCGAGGGCACCGCTTCAGTGCTGCCACGTTCCAGGTGCGTATGTGTGTGTGTGTTTTGACAGTTGACCGGTATCGACTATGACTAACCGGCAACGGCTAACGGCAACAAGACTACTCCTTTGTTTACCGGAACAATGCAGGGGACTGCTGCTGCCCGTATGCAGGGGGCTCACCATCCACTACTCACTTCAAGGCCGCGCTCACCCCCTGAACCCTCCCGCGTCTTGCCTTCCCCAACTTCCGCCCCACCCCGCCCCACCCCACCCCATTCGCAACGCAACGCTGATGACACCGCTGAAGGCGGCGGTGATTTGCAACTCCGTGCTGCCGGCAGTACTGCTGGGAGTGCTGGACGGCGCCCAGATGGAGCCGCACAGCTCGGCGGCCCGGGGTACGACTGTGGCGCTGCTAGTGTGTAAGGCCCTCTTCGCAATCTACATGGCGTTGATATTGCCGTACAACAACATAGTCGTAATGAGCGTGGAGGTAAGGGGGGGGAGGGGGGAATCAAGGGGGTGTGGTCACGCAAAAGGCAACGATTCGAACGTCGAACAGACACCAAAACAGCAAGATACGCCTGGACATTTTCCTGATAAAGGCGTTTGGGATGGCGGTGCTGCTGTCGGTAATGCATCGGCAATGGTGTTGCTGCCAGCGGCGACCGATGACACGGGCGCCATTACCCCTGCCCTCCATGGCGGGTGTAATCAGCATAAGCGCAAGCTATCGCCTAATCGCCTCGACAACAACAACAGTGAATGCGGCGAGGCCGGCGATCCATTTCAGGCGCCCAACCAGAGCGCTCACCGTGCCAAGCGGGCTGAGATACAGCGCATCTGCAAGGGCCAGAGCGACGGTGTATGGCGGGACAAGCAGAAAGAGAACCCTTTACTTATTGCTCCCAAACAGTGCCATAACTATATACGAATGTGCACGAAGAGTGCACACACGAACGAAAAAAAACGCGCCAACTCAGTGCATGACTCTCTTGGTCTACGAGGGGGGTTGTAACTTACCGGGGGGGGTCTGGGGGGCCAGAGGGAATAAATTACGACGGCCCTAGCAGCTTTGTTACTTGGGTTGGAATATATTGAGACCCGCCCAAAACGAAAAAAATTCACTGGTGTGGTGATGGTGGTGGTGTGATGTTTGGGGTGTGTGGAGCGGGTGTGGGGGAGGGTGTTGGTAAAGTACAGGTCGACGGCCACCACGATCTGATGGTGATGGTGATCCATCAACTGCGGGAGATGGGGATGGGGATGGGGATGGGGATGGGGATGGGGATGGGGATGGGGATGGGGATGGGGATGGGGATGGGGATGGGGATGGGGATGGGGATGGGGATGGGGATGGGGATGGGGATGGGGATGGGGATGGGGATGGGGATGGGGATGGGGATGGGGATGGGGATGGGGATGGGGATGGGAATTCATCAACTGCGTCCAACACACGACTGCCCTCTCCCCTCCAGCTTTCCCAGCTGCTCCCCCTGCTTTCCGTCGCCTTCCGGGCCCCCTCACCCCCCGCCACAACCCGTATCTGGATGCGGGGAGGGGAGGTGGCTGCCGGATTATATGCTTGCACCCCAACCCCCGCCATACCTGGAGCCCCCATGTCGATCTCGACCTGGCTGGTCGTACCCACACTTGGGATTGTACCCGCTGTACTGCCCCTGCTGCTGCCGCACAGCTACTTTGCGCCTTGCTGGAAATCGCTGTGTGCGCCTGCCTGGTGGGGCTGCAATGGACCCATGGGTCGGAATCGGTTCTCAATGACGCCATGCTGTGCTGCGAGGTAACGGTGTTCGGTCTGCAGGTCAGTGAGGTCAATCGGTCCCCTGGGGTTTGGGGACGGCGGACAGCTCCCGCCGGGGGACCCCGGGCCCCACCCCAACACACACACACACACACCCCGGGAGACCTAGGCCCATGATAGCTCATCCAACTTCAACAACAAACACCCTGCTGCTGACGTATGTCATGCCGTATCCAGATCCAGATCCTGATCCTGATCCCGATCCTGATCCCGATCCAGATCCTGATCCTGATCCTGATCCAGATCCTGATCCTGATCCCGATCCTGATCCCGATCCTGATCCCGATCCTGATCCTGATCCCGATCCTGATCCCGATCCTGATCCTGATCCTGATCGTGCCCCCTGCCACTCCGTTTCGTGGTGATTCCAGATCCTGCGGGTAGTCGTGACCTCCCTCCTGCCCGCCTACCTGACATTCCGAGAGTGGGGTTGCGGCATGGCCGGCTGCTGGAGGGCCTGGGGGTGCACCGGACCACCCCCGGGGCCGACCTTACCACCGACACCGACACCGCCATCACAGTCATCACCGTCATCACAGTCATCACAGTCCGCACAATCGCCAAAATAACCGGCACTGCAACCGCCGCAGTCCTCTGCTCGAGGGGGCAGGGCACGGAAAGGAAGGCCCCTGAGTGCTGCGGCTGCGGCTGCGGCTGCGGCTGCGGCTGCGGCTGCGGCTGCTGCAGTTGGCAACAGAGAGCAGTTGCCGTGAATTGGAACAGATATACATACCGACGTACATACTGGGGATGAGACGCATGGGGAGCTTTAGGGAGGAAGAATGATGTTCTGTGGGGGTATTTGGGGGGTGAGTGCGGGGGAAGGGGGCAGATATCCACCTCGGTGGTAGACCTCGCAGTTGGTGGGTCTCATTAACCAGTTCCGGGTCGGCTAGGTAGTGGAGGAGGTAGTGGAGGAGGTAGTGGAGGAGGGTGACGATGATATGACGATGATGATGACGATGACGATGACCATGATGACGACGGCGAGTGACGATAATCAGTGGTATTAAGACCCTTTTACCTCGCTCCACGTGCAAATATTTATTAGGGGAATTATCACCCGCCGTGCAAGGTATGGATATATCGGCGTATATGTGTCTGGGCACGTATGTATGTTCTTACAGGGTGGTATAGCTTCACCAGCGGCCCCCTTTCCCGAGGCAGTTCCCTGCTCTCCCCTGCGAGAGGGGCACCCTATTCCATTCACCCCATCCAACTTCAGAATGTATTCGTTGGGTTCAGCAACTCACCACCAGCATCCAACCAAATCTAGCGGATCAACGGCGCCACAACTTAGTTCCTGGTCAGCTCGCAAGTTGATATAATCACGTCCTACACCGTCCACAGATGGGGGCCCACCCAAGTCAACACCCCTCACACACCAAGGGGTCGGCAGGCGGATTTGAACCGTTAAACTCCGTGGGATAGGGGTAGCTGTCATCCGGGGACCTCCGGGAGCAGAAGTCAGGCCTCAATTTCTGCCAGCCACCTGCCTAATGCATATTGTTACAGAATGGGAGGCTTCTGGGCCACTTGAACACATTGTCAATTCTACGTTTTATCACACCACACAGCACCATCCACCATTACGACAACGTACTATGCCATACGAACTGGAAAGTAATGCTGCCTTATAGGATTCCCTCCTCATCCATTCACCCGAAAATCCGTAGAGATAGATCAGCAATCGCCACCAATCCAGCGTGTGAATTTCAATCCATTAACTGTGATCGGAATTACATGCCTCAGCCACTAGCCATACTCTCACGTTTCCAACAGAGTCAAAGATCTCCCCCGCAGTCGACTCCAGGACCTCAGACTGTGCAAGATAACAGAGTCAACCAGACCAAAGCATGCACATATGTGTTAGCCTGGCGGGCGGTAAACTTATCGACCTACATTTCGTTCACAAGGTGTCACTGGTAGCGACAGGGCACGATAGAGCAGAATGCCTTCTGGGCCTACTCGAAGCCTACTGCGAAGCGACGGGTATGGCCGCGAATGCCGCCAAGTGCGAGGTCCTCATTTTTGGGGGCACTAAACGTGAGCGGAAACGGCTTATGGAAGCTGAGTACTGGCTAGGTGGGGTAGGGTTGCGGGTGCTGACCGGCAACGAGACGGCACGGTACCTCGGGTTGCATTATGGCCCGGGAGTGCGGTTCTCAGCATGTATCAAGCAACTACTCGCGGCAGGGAGGCGGGCCACGTTTGGGCTCAGCACCCTGTGTCGAGATAAGAAAAATACCAGCCCCAAGCTCTGTATGTCTCTCTACAATACACTATTTGTACCGGTGTTTTCTTATGGAGCGCAAGTTTGGGGACCCGACTTCATAAATGTGAGTTTTGAAGGTGCTATGACTCCCATGGTTCAAGAGCAGCGTGCGTACATGCGATCTGTAGTTGGGGCGAGGAGCCCGACTATGGCTTCCCTATACCGCGAGCTGTCACAGAGGCCGCTCCAGTTCCATTGGACCAATCTTGTATTTAGGTTTTGGAACTCTATGGGTAAGAGGCCGGGAATGCTGTGCCACCGGGCATTTGTCGCTGACCTGGAATTGGCACTTGGGGGCGCCACTGAGTGTTGGACAAGCAAGGTACTAGCCTTTTTTACTAGCTTAGGAGCGGAACCCACCACTAATACGCGCGGTAATGATCTCAAAGCGTATTACACCACCCTTAAATTGCCAGTTGAGAGCATTCTTAAGGTATTTGCCAAGCGGCTTGATGCGGCTGCGGCTGCTGCAGTTGGCAACAGAGAGCAGTTGCCGTGAATTGGAACAGGTATACAGACAGACAGACAGACAGACAGACAGACAGACAGACAGACAGACAGACATACTGGGGATGAGACGCATGGGGAGCTGTAGGGAGGGATAATGATGTTCTGTGGGGCTATGTGGGGAGTGAATGTGGGGGGAGGGGGCAGATATCCACCTCCACAGTTGGTGGGTCTCATTAACCAGTTCCGGGTCAGCTAGGTAGTGGAGGAGGTAGTGGAGGAGGTAGTGGAGGAGGTAGTGGAGGTGATGGTGACCATGATGACGACGGCGAGTGATGATCATCAGTGGCGTTAAGACCCTTTTACCTCGCTCCGCGTGCAAATATTTTTATTAGGGAAATTATCACCCGCCGTGCAAGGCGTGGATATATCGGCGTATATGTGTCTGGGCATGTATGTATTCATGTTTGTATGTATGCATGTCTGTATATGTCTGTATGTATGCATGTATATGTATATATGTATGTGTGCATGTATGTATGTTGACATAGATGTGATGTTTAGTATCTACTGCTAGCTTTGCCGAGGTCCCGTATGTCTGCACACCATTCCAAATGTGATAAATACACGTCACACACACACACACACACACACACACACAACACACAACACACACACACAGACACACACACAAACACAAACAAACACATAGAGGGCCGCGGGCAGCTGCTTGTCCCGCACTTATATTTCCATAATATGAACTTACTGCTGAACTTAATGCTGCTGGTGTGCTCGTGGGCGGCTGTGCTGCACAAAGGTATGCTTGGCTGGGCTGCTTTGCGTGATGTGCTGATGTGCGTTTTATGTGATGCAGAAAGGTCTGGGGATGCGGTTGTGATGACGGTGTATGTATGTGTGTTGTAGGGTGGCGATAGGCGACGTTACTGCACGGGTGATATGGTGTGTGCACATGAAGCCCATCATCGCTTTATCAGCGGTACACCGTAAAAGCATATGAGGTGCCCTATGATATGAGGTACACCTTGGCGGCTTTCTCCCCCCCCCATTACTGCCATATCCGGGTGTGTGTCAATGTACAAAGGAGGAGCTGCAAACTCGTCGATGGAGGCCGTTTTACACCCGGGCTAATATTCCGAAAAGTGTTGCATTGATCGTACTGTACATTGGTCGTACTGTACACATACATACATATATATATGTACATATGTTCAGGCAGTACTGGTAATGCACACATTGATGCCCCCGGAGGTTCCGGGATCAAGACCTATCAGGGTCGAAAATCCTTCCCATGGTGGAAGGTAAGAGTGTCCCTAGTCGATGGACGGTAGTGACCTGGGATAAAGTAGACATGCAAGCTGACCAGGAATGGAGTTGAGCCGCCGTTGATCGGCAGATTCCGTTGGATGCCGATTGTGAGCTGTTCCGGATGCTGCCTAGGACTCGAGGGTTGCAAAGATTGGGGATTGGGGGCGGGTACTGGTCAGGCAGGATGGGGAATAGGGTGATAATCTCAGCATTGGGTTTAGGTGCCACAAGGCAAGGATCAGGATTGCTACATTACTTTCAGGATGGGGATTGCTGCTGGGTTGAGGATGAGGATGGGAACCCTGCAGGCGGGATGGGGATTGAAACCCTGGCCAAATATGGGGATGGGACCCTGGCTGACAGGATGGAGATTGCAGGCTGTCACGGTTTTAGGCTGGGCTCGCCGCCACAGGATGAGGATTGGGGACACAGCTGGAGAATTAGGATGGGTGGTTCTGCTGTAAGGTGAAGGCTCAGGCTGCAGCTGCAGAATGGGGAATACTGACAGGGCTGCAACAGACTGAGGGTGGATGGTGTAGTTGTCCGTAGTTGCCGATGTGATGTGCTAAGTAATAGCCATAAGTTATGGTGCTTCTGTGTTACTGTCTCCCTTAACTGGTTCTGGTGGCTGTGGATTGGCTGACCTGATGGTGCTGAACGGCGTGGTTTGGACGATTTTGGCGAGAATTGCACCTCTGCCTCGGGCCTTACACAGCAGAAAAGAGCAAACAGCCAAGCCTATCAGTGGCTGCACGGCCCAACCGGCCAGCAGGCCGCCCGTAGCCACGGGGGCTGCACAGCTGACCGCGGCGCAACACACCAGACAGCCAACAGTCCGGCACGCACCACGAAAGGGCGCCAGCACCCAACACCAAAAACCAAAGCGTTGCTGATCTTAAGTAACAGAGGCACTGCAGCACCCGCGCGCCCCAAAGACCTTCGCACCAGACAAAGCCCGACCGACCAGAAACGACCAGGCACCAACCCCATGGGGTGTTCCCCCTCATCCCGGTTGCGGGCGCCTCAGCCCGCCCCNTGAACCACCCCCCTCCCGCGCGCATGCTGCCTCCCCCTGCCACCATGCTGAGGGGGGGGGGCGCCTCTCAGGAGCCCGCCGATGCTAGGCCGAGCCAATCAGAGCTGCATCTGGGGCAAGACTGGGGATGGCGGAAAAAGGAAGCAAGGGGCTGACAGGGACAGGGCGGGCGGGGGGCAAGTACAGCCTGTCACGCTGACTATTCGGACAAGGCTGTATGCTCTTCTGTGTGAAGGCAGAATGACTTCACCAGGAGAGCAGTAAGGTTTAAGTCGCCACTGCGACCCAGTTGTACGACAGTATCACAGAACCAGCCTTAGAGGCTCCGGTCGCTTCGCTCCGTCACATCTAAGCCAACAATTCTGTGTTACTGTCTTCCTTAACTGGTTCTGGTGGCTGTGGATTGGCTGACCCGATGGTGCTGAACGGCGTGGTTTGGACGATTTTGGCAAGAATTGCACCTCTGCCTCGGGCCTTACACAGCA